GTTGATCCACTTTCAAGGAGAGGAGAAAGGCTGAAGAGGAAGTAAAAAGGAGGCAACGCAGGGTCTAGTAGATCCAGCCAAGACCATCACCCGCCCTACCATGAAACCAATGCCCGAGATTGCACCATTCCCAACTTGGCCTCCTTGTAGACACTGGATGAACCAAGCTCAGCTATAAGTGGTGCCACCTATCACTGCTAACTATTTTGCAATAAATGCAAATATATTGGTGAAACAGATACGGAATTCTGTCTTTGCTTTAATAACCATAAAAAACTATCAAGGACAACAACATCAATTTCGCTGTCACTGCACATTTCAGCCAACTGGACCATAGCAATGATAATGTCAGATGTGTGCTTTTAGTGTCTTTGTTTAAATGCCAACAAGAATGACGAAAGTCCGAGTTAAAATACATTTTTAAAATAAATTCACACATTCTAGGTTTAAATAGGAATTTAGGTATACTCAACGAATACATTTTCTGCAGAAAGCCTTCCACAAACCCTCTACAACCCTAATCATGGCAAACAACTAGCCCAAAACTATCATATGATAATATAACATATGCAGAAGAAAAGAAAAAACAAAACCCCAAAAGTCAAACTTCATTTTTTATTTCTTGTGTCCAAAGGTTGTTTTTTGACATCTTTTCTCATCATGCTTTCATTTGGTTAAAAGGCCAACCAATATACAATAAATACTATAAGTCTTATCAATATTATTATTTTTGTTGTTTTTACCTCTCAAATTTCTTTCATCTACACACACACACACACACACAATACAGACACATATAATACACATGCACACACACATACTATATATCATACTTATTATAAAACCCAGGTTGTGTGTGTGTGTGTGTGTGTGTATCTGTACGTTTATATATTGGATCGGATTTCCTACATTTTTCAACCGATTTCAACAAAACTTCACAGGACTACGAAAATTACCTTGCGAGTGGTTCTGATAGTGCAAAATTGGAAAACAATTGTTTTTGCACAAAATCAATTTGAAAACATGATTAAGAGGCATCACTGTCGCCAGAATGAAAGGGGGGACAACTCATATCGAGTTATAGTTATTATAAAACCCACGTTGTTTGTGTTTGTTTATATATGGGATCAGATTTCCTACATTTTTAAACCGATTTCAACAAAACTTCACTTTTTTTTTGGCAGGTAGTGTTTCTTATTGTCTTGCACACTTTTTTCTTTATTTTTACATTCAGAATGCTTTAAAAATTCCATTTACAAGACAATTTTTTATAATAAAATTCTATTCAATTGGTAGACTCATAACGATTGAAAACAATGTTTTTGTTTGAGTTTGACCAATTCATAAAAAAAAACAAAAAAAAAACAAAAAAAAAAAAAAAAAAACCTTAAACAATAATCTTTCTCAATTTTATTTTTCAGTCTTTATGATGGTCGATACTGATCTATCTCTCATTGTTACATCCCCGGCAACGCTGGGCTCTACTGCTAATATATATATATATATATATATATATATATATATATATATATACACACACAATGAGAGGAAACATATTCATACACCTACAAATTCTTAATTTATTGTATTTCCAACTAATGAATAAAGATACTTCTTTAACTGTACACAGACACATAACTAAATATGCATAGAAAACAAAAAAAAAATTTATTTAATAGAAATAAATTTATCCATATTAATGGGTGAAAAAGTATTCGCACAATGCAAATTTCAGATTTTAAAAGTTTTAAACTGCCTTAATACTCTAGATTATTGAAGTGGAATATTCTAAAATGTTTCAATAATGTCGCCTTCAGGGTCCTTCCTGGTCCACGGCAACCAATTGTCACCTCCTACTCGGCTGTTCATTCGTCTGAATGTCCAACATCTGTGGCTGATCTATCAGATGACTGCTTCAATCCAAACCTTGCCTTATCCCACATTGTGTTTAGTTTTGATCATAAGGCTGGCAAAGATCGAATCCTCATTGGGAATCATTGTATTAGGTTGGTCCAGGCAAAATGATGATGCAAGTAAAAAAAAAAAAAAAATAACTTGAGTAAAATTAAATGCTTTTATATATCTTCTTTTGTACAGTGCTTGGTTAGTCTTGTCGTTAGAATTTATCAGCTTCTTATGTAGACCATTATCAATCCAACCCACTTCTTAAGTTGATCGTGACACTTTGGCTGGTTTGGGTAAGTCTGATACAAGGCTTATGTCAGAGGTTCTCTTAAGGCAGGTAGTCACGTGATATCAGGCAACATGGTCGTCTCTTGTCTCAGCATCTGCAACAACTGCTTTCAGCCACTTCAATTCCTTGCATTTATTGACATTCACCTAAAAATGGCATAGAACATGACATGGTTAGGAGACTTGGTGACTTCCCTATCTTCCAACAAGATCCCTTTTGTTGAATGGGTCTTGAAAATTAATTACATTTTCAAATTGGGAGATCTCCTTTTCCTATGGCTAACAGTCACAGGTATCAATCCGCCCTGATAACTTCTTCCTTCTCATTGGCATCTCACACCAATACTTCCCAATGGGCGTGGGCAATTCCTCCACCTTCTTCAGTATTTCATCTGTACCTGCCACCTTGGCTACCCTTCGACCAATGGCTCTTGGCTGGTTGGCGTGGCTTAACTTATGGTCATTAATTAAAAAAAATTATCATTTCAAATTTTACTTATGAAAAAGTTTCCAATCCTGGCCTTGTTTAAAATCAGATATTTACTAGATGGTTCTCTGGTCAGCCATCCCCCACCCCCAACCCTGTCAGGGTCATTGCACTCCAACCACAAGGAAACTCTATTCTCAAGTTTTGGTTACAGATCAAATCTTATAACGTCCTATTTATTTGTGTTTTCATAAACAGTACTTTGGAGTGAGGTCATTAATCAGTTGTCAACTTAAAGATTGCCACATAGTTTCTTGTAGTAATATCAACTTTCCTTAAGTAATTTTTTTTTTTTTTGGTAAAGTAAAATCTTCATTCTTTCTCCTGGTCTGTCCATTGTTCTATTCATTAACCCTTTCCTTCCATTTACCAGCACCAAATAATGTCACAATAATGTTATCAGTAGTTATTTTTAGCTTAAAAATACCAGCAGAACATTCTGGAATTGATATTCGTGCAAGAAGGTTTTCATCATGGCAAGAGGTTAAGAATTGACAAATTGGCAAAAAGATCTGATTGTTAAGCTCTGGAAGAAAGGTAAAAGTAACAGGAAAATCTCAGACAACCCAAATATTCCATTTACTACCATTAGTTCATTGTAAGATATAAAAAACTCCAAACTGTTGAAAACCAAAGAACAGGTGCTCCACAGAAGAGTTCTGCAAGATCCTCGAGGAAATTAATGTGTCAAATTAAATAAAATCCAATGGTTACTTGTTTAGAGTTGCAGGATGATTTGCTTTCATCAGTAATCAGTGTCACTAAATGGACAATAAGCAATAAAATTCATAAGAACAATCTAAAGTCATGCTACCCTTGGCTGTTGAAAAGACAGAGATGCCAGGTTGAAATTTACTTGAGAACGTAAGTATAAAGAAAAAAAAATCATATCGAGAAAAAGTATCATGGACAGATGAAAACAAAATTGAGTTGTTTGGATGTAATTCTAGAAATCATGTAAGGAGGAAAGATGGCAATGGCTTCAAACAAAAGAATACAGTTCCAACAGCAAAATTTGGTGGTGGCAGCATCATGGTTTGGGGATGTTTTTCTGCAAAAGGTATTGGCATTGAATATCTTGAACTTCCTCCTGATTGGATCTTCTTACAAGATAATGATCCTAGGTACAATGCAAAATCTACAAAGAAATGACTTGCTAAAAATAATGTAAATATCCTGTAATGGCCAAGTTAGTCCCCAGATTTAAACCCAATCAAGAATCTGTGGGATTATTTGAAAATTCATATCCAATTGAGAGCTCCAACAAACATCCGAAAACCATATGCGAAGAATGGAACAAAATACCAACTAAAATTTGCCAATCATTAATTGAGAACTAAAAGAAGAGGTTGGTTGCTGTAGAAGTGAATATTGGATATTCTACAAAGTATTAAATGAAGATTATGTATTTTTTTTGTATTTTTCATGCATTAAAATGGATAAATGGGATTTATTTGTTAAATCAATTTTTTTGTTTTCTATGTATATTTAGTTATTATGCATATGTGCATAGGTAATTATATGAAAAGAATGTTTATTCATTAGTTGTAAAAAAATAAATTAAGAATTTGTATGTGTACAAATATTTATTTCTCTCCAGTATATATATATATATATATATATATATATATATATATATATATATATATATATATGTGTGTGTGTGTGTGTGTGTGTGTGTGTATATATATATGTGTGTGTGTATATATATATATATATATATATATGTGTGTGTGTGTGTGTGTGTGTGTGTGTATGTATGTATATATATATATATATATATATATATATATATATATAATGGCCATAATTTACAATTAATCTAAGATGGAGGAACATTCTTAATTATTGAATAATTGAAAAGAAAATACAATATTGAGTTTTTGTAAAATTGCCAAGAAATTTAAATCATTAAAATCATCTTCCCACACAAATACCAAAAATTATTATTAGACATTGTTCAAATGTTTAATTTTTCTTATTAAAAAAAAAAAAAAAAAAAAAAGAAAATAAATAACCAAAAACTATTGACTAAAATCTTTCATTCCAAAAATAAAACAACTCTTTCTCAGCCTGAGGAAATAAAAGTGCCTTGTGTCCACTTGGAAATAAATACTTTTAAAATTAAATTATGCCCACCAGCTAGATCTCAGTATTTAAGATTAATGAAGAAATAATAGGAAAACTCAAATGAATTATTGAAAATTGCCCGAACTTTTTGATTTTTGAAAAAAAATTATCTGGTGAGTGATGTGGCTAAAAAACAAAAATGACCCTCCTCAACCATAAAAAACAAAAAACAAAAAAAAAACATACATACCTGTGATATCAAATATTTTGCAACTCTCTCTACAAGTCTTCCTCGAGGTATGGACAGAATCATATCAAGCATGTCACCCTGAAGTTTTTCCATGACAACAAATATCTAGGAAAGAAAAAAAAAAAAATTATTCAATAAAAAATTGATAATTTCAAATCAATTTGGAGATTAGGTTATTTATTAATTCTTGTAGTAAACGTTATCTTTAACATAGTTAAAAGGAAGAAAATAAAGGAGAAACAGAAAAAAGTGAGGAAAATAGTGAGGAGAAAAAGGGGGTGAAACAAAAAGATAAAAATAGAGAGGAAAATAGGAGAAAGGAATGGGGGGAGATAAAAAGGGGGTAAAAAAAAAAAGAAAATGGGTGGGGGTGGGGGAAACAAAATTTGGATGTGGAAACTGAGACAACAAAAGAAAAATGAGGAAAGAGAAAAATGGGGAGAAAGTAAAATGAGAGGGGAGGGAACAGGGATAAAGAGAAAAATGGTGGGGAAGTAAAAGTGGATAGTAAAAGAAAAAGGGAGGAGTGAAGGGGGAGAAAAAGGGAGGAGTGAAATATAAGGTGGGGGAGAAATGAAGTGAAATTGAAAAGGCAAAAGGAAAAATAAAACAAATAAACGGATTTGATTGAAAGTTGAAAGTGTGGAGAATGTAAGAAATTGGTGAACCAAGTTCAAATCTCAGCCAAATCTGTTCTATTCCTTTTCCACTAACACTCTCACAAAAGGTATGAACCTATCCTCCCCCATCTGTGGGTTAAATAGCAGAGCAGACAGTTCTCTTGCCTTGGGTGGTAACCAGTCTAGGAAAATGAATTTAAAACCAGCCTGAAGAGGGATGGGCTCCTTCAGGATATCTTGCTCTAGATACATAATTGCTGTGGCTGCACTACAGGTAGTACTATACATAAATGGGATAAGAATGTTCCTGAAAAAAAAAAAAAAAAAAAAATTGTCTGAATTACTGGGATGATGAATTAACTATTTACATTGCAAACTATTATCCTCATATTTGTTGTTGTTATCACGTTTCAGACATTGTGCTCTTTGGCCTTCATCAGGTGTTGATCTATAGAGAATTCTTAACTGAACACTTTATTTAATCCATGCGGATAGACTGTTCTCATTCCATTACTCATGTCTAGAGATCTTGTCAGGTTCTTATTTTTAGTACTGGTCGGTTATTGCTTGCCCATTTCCACAGAGTCCAAGAACACATACGCGACAATTGAACAATCACTATATCAACAAATTCACTAGACCATAAGACAATTTGTTGTAGTGGATTGAGAATTAAACTGTATAAATAAATTCTATCAACTAGTTATACAGTGTGACCCGGATATAAAAGAGATTTTCTCTGGTCCCAAATTAGAGCCTGTGTTAATGTATATAAAATAGACCAAACCCGGATATAAGAGAAACCCGAATATAAGAGACTTTTTCTCCGGTCTCGACACCTCTCTTATATCCGGGTTACACTGTACATATAAAACCAAATAAATGTGGTTATAGACATTATTTAAAAACAGAATCATCAAAATTAAAGAAACCAGCAAAAAGTGACAATTACATTATTTACATGCAGATTATTGTCCTAACCTTCATTGTTATCCCAATGTTTCAGTCATTGCATACTCCAGCCTTTATCAAGTATATGTCAATCTGAGTAATCTATAGGGAATTTTGTTATTTAATCTACAGGGTTAGATTGTTCTCATTCCACTGCTCATGTTTAGGTTTGGTTTGGTTTATTTTACGGCATATCAACACCTCAATGGGTTATTTAATGCTGACAAGATTTTTATTGCTGGTAATATTTTTTCCAAAAATGTATTACTGGTAATAATTTTTTTCCTTCAAAAATGTATTGCTGGTAATAATATTTACAAAAATGTATTGCTGGTATTAAAACCTATTTTTACACTTTCATAGTGTTTTGACCCCAGTTTGGGGGGTTAACTATTTGCCCATAGCTGGGACCCTAAAAGGTGCTACCACCCTGGGTCATGGTGGACCTAGGAACACCAGCAATTAAGAGGTGGTTCCACGCTTCTCAAAATCTCCTGATCAGAGACCTTGTTGTTGGATGTAGTTTATCGTCTAACCCAGGACACTCATGTTTAAGAGTATTTCATCTAGTTCTTACTTTTAGTACTGCTCAGTTATTGCTCACTCATTTTTACTGTGTCCAAGTACACACTGCCTAGTCAACCCTACTCCTGCCAAACACAGCACTCCATGTAAGCTGGAGGTTTGGACAACTTAAAAAGTCCCCACACTACTGCTATAGAAATCCACATTTGCTGAAACCTCCTGACCAAGACCTTATGCCAGCCCTGAAGACCAGAATTTAGGGATTGAACTCACAATCATTATGTCACCAAATTCCCAAACCAATGCTTTAATTATTTAGATGCAGACACATCTTTGTTGTTATCACGTTTTGACAATTCAGAATCCCGAGCTGAACCCTTTATTTAATCTACAGGGTAGACTGTTCTGTTTCCATTACCCTTGTTTATAGCTATTTTGTCGTGTTCTTATTTTTAGTACTTCTCAGTTATTGCTTGCACCATTTCCACCAAGTCCAAGTACACACTGCCTGACCAAGGGATTTAACTCACAATAACTATGTCCTGTGGGACAATATTCTAGTAGATTAAAGTATTGGTCCCTGAATTTGGTGACATAGTAATTATGTCAACCCTATTTTCCTGAAAAACATTTTTAAGAGAAAGATTTTATAAATTTCAACTGAAAGTAGCACTGGATGCTTGGTCAATGAATGTAAATGTTTCCTTATAAGGAAATGGCTAATATTACCATTACCATGCTAATGGGTTATGGGATTCATGTCATACATGACGATTTGAAGTTACAGGTCAGTTTTTAAAGAATGTTTTGCAAACAGTTTCACGATAAAGAAAACCTAGAGAAGACTAAAAATATTTCAAGGTGGAAAATAAAATAAAATTCTAAAAAATTATTGCTTGTTTTTAACCAGTTGGCTGACAAAACATTTTACAAGAAATTTCTTTGTCCTGAAACAGCTGATGAGATAAGTTGATGATACATTATCTACTGGCAGATCCTATAACACTTATACTCTAGAGAGAATTGTGCAATGTAATTATCCATGCAGAGTAATTGGCCATTGTTAAATAAATGTAAATGACAGAAATGCCCAACAGAACAAAACTGACAAAGTTTGCAATAAACAATAAGAAAAGAACACGACAAAAATAATACTAAGCAAACAATATACACAAGGCAAAAGAACAGTAATAAGGCAAAAGAACAGTAATAAGGCAAAAGAACAGTAATAAGGCAAAAGAACAGTAATAAGGCAAAAGAACAGTAATAAGGCAAAAGAACAGTAATAAGGCAAAAGAACAGTAATAAGGCAAAAGTCCACAAACTGAAAGGGGATACAGACAAGTGATCACAGCATTTGGACTTCAAGACAAGAAGGAACATAACTAAGTCAGATGAGACCAAGAAGTAGCCTATTTCATTGGCTAGGAAGAAATCGCAAAATGCATCTGTGTTTTGTCTATAAATTTGGGGAAGGGGAGAGTTTGGCAGTCGTTCAAATGAAATTGGAACCAACAATCATATATTGTACACTATTTACATTATTTAGACTATTGTCCTCATTTTTGTCGCCATGTTTAACACAATGTTTCAGCTGTTGTATGCTTCGGCATACAACTGAATCTTTTATTTCACTCACTGGGGTAGACTGTTCTAGTTCCACATGCCATGTCTAATGGATGTCAGTTATCTCCTGTTAATTACCCTCTGAAAGTTCTCCACTGCCTTAACCAGGTTGAACTCACACTCTTTGGGTCCTGTCACTGGATCTAACTAACGCCTTTATCCACTGTGCCATGTGTCCTTGAACATGGCAACAAAGATGAGGACAATAGTCCGAATAATGTAAATAGTGTACATAATACCTCATCTCAGAAATATAGACAAATCCTATATTGGTAAGAAATTATAGTCCTACATGTCTCCACAAGGTGGCAACAGTTGGTTAACACTCCTGTTGATAAGCGCAATTATGCCAGCATCTAGATACACTGGGTGTCAACATTTAAAATTCAAAGCCTGAGTTAATAGTTTCATGTGATCTGTAACTGGTGTTTGTAATAATTCAACTCTCGTCTTTTTCCTCATCTTTTATATCTAAAACCAATTCCCTCATTAAAACTGTGGAGGAATGATCATAAATATTCATCAGGTTAACAGAAATGCCAGTCAAGCTATGGGAGCACAAAGTGATACAATTCAATATCTAATAAATGAAAATGATTGTTTTGTTTTACGGCATATCAACCTCAATGGGCCATTTAATGCTGACAACTTTTTTCTTTTTTTTTTCCTGGTAATATTTTTGTTTTGTCAAAAATCTATTTCTGTAAATATTTTCTCCTCAAAAATGTATAGCTGGCAATATTTTTTTTTCAAAAACACATAGCTGGCAATAGTTTTTTTTCAGAAACGTATTGCTGGTAACAGTTTTTTTTTTCTTGCTGGTAATATTTTATAATGCTTTTTACCTCAGTTTCAGGGTTAACTATTTGCTCATAGCTGGGACCCTAACAAGTGCTACCACCCCGGGTCAGGGTGGACCTGGGAACACCAGCAATTAAGAGGTGGTTCCATGCTCCTCAAAACCTCCTGATTGGAGGACTTGCTGTTGGATGTAGTTTATTGTCTTACCCAGGACATGGATGTAGTTTATCGTCATACCCAGGATGGAAATGAAAGTGAGTAAGTGATGTTCTTGAAATTTTTTTTTTTTTTTTTTTTTAATGCAAATTAGTATTTAAATTAATTTATGTGTTATATATTTTGAATAACATGAGGTCATAGGTTTAACCATTTTCTTTTAATTTTCTATCATTTTCTTGTAGTCATATATTACTAATTTCCCAAACCAAGATACATGACTAGAAAAATGTTAGAAAATTAAGAGCAAACAGTTAAACCCATGACCTCATGTTATTCAAAATATAAAACACAAATTAATCCCTAACTAATTTAAATAATTTGCACAAAAAAACAAAATTTCTAAAACAGGACTTACTTTCTTTT